TTTTTTTTTTTTTTTTTTTTTTTGACAAAGTTATTAACTATCGCAGTTGGATAACCTGGTTCTAGTGACAATGCGTTTCGACAGTTGCGTGGGTGTATAGGGTGGCACGATTTTTTTTTCACTTCTTTTTTGTATGTTTCTCTATTGTCCATTCTCTATAGTTCATGATCGTATGGACACCCGGTATATTCTAACGCCAAGCCTCTCTAGAACTCTAAGCCTTATACGTTATTCCGCAGCGCGCTTTTCTATATACTCGTGGCGCATAAACGGCGTCTTTCTCGTACCGTTAACGATTAACTTTGTGGCCGAATGTGCTTTGGATTATTTATGTAGGCAGCAAGGGAGTGGCGGGACGCGATTAATACTCGTTAATTATACTGGGTGTTGGTGAAAGAGGCTAACGGCGAGTAAGAAAAATTTTAATGGCTTATAGTGAAACGAGATGAAGAAAAAAAAATTTAATAGTAAAAAAGTTGGATACTGTTATCATGCAAAAAAAAGGAAAAAAAAAACAATTTTGAAAAAATGGGTCATAAGAATTCCACGACATATATATATATATATATATCGATATATCAACCCAAGAAAATAACATGCATGAGTCAGTCGAGCGACTCTTGGAATTTCAGAGTGAATAAATCGATAAGAGACAAAGAAAAAGGAACTAAACGAAAATAAAGAGAAAAAGCTCTCGAGTGAAAAAGTCCAAGACAATTTTGTTATTAACACATGTTGCTGCTAGAGCACGATAACGTAAACGCCGGAATTCATATTTGGCAAATGCTTTAAGCCTCGCGCACAACTCGGCGACAGTATGGGTATCCGCATTATTATTCCCAACGCTCGCCTCGTAATGTGTTTTACGATTTTCAATTTACGCCACCCATGGACTTTACTATATATATATATATATATATATATATATATATCCTCAAGGCGGATATCTATGTCCTTCAACATACTGCTAAGGCATTCGGAGTTTTATCTGATAAGTCATTCGATAAGCACCACTAGGTCCACCCATACGACACATGAATGAAAGTAATAACTGTTAAAGAGATTTATTCAAAATTTCCATGTACCTCGTAGGCATGTTTATTCTCATTTACTAAGTTCAGGAAAAACTCACCGATGGCGCTGCACTTCGATGGGTTCCGCTTCGTGTATTTGGCAACGAAGCACTTTTCGGGTTATTCGCCGGAGGCCTCTGACTCTCTCGTCTGGAAGGTGGCGGCGGTGGGTGCGATAGGGGTCTGCCGGGACTTCTCTGATTCTGAGAATGATACTGACCCCCGTTCCAGGGCTGACGAGAGAGATAGCCGACGTATCCGCCGGAAATGAATTGCGCCGATCCGTTCAGGTGGGGCGGTGCCATTACGGCCGTTTGTTGCGTTTGCGTACCGTTACGCATTTTTTTTAAAAACTTTTATCGGCGGTTCAAATATCCCGCCTTTTTTTCCCCTATACTGTTACAACCTCCGTACAGTCCTCTATGAGATTCCACGACGTTCGTACACTCCGAGCATTTTACTTTAGCAGACTGTCTTCTTCACTACCCACATTTTTCGAAAATTTTTACTCTGTTTTTTCTTCTTCTTTTCTTCCGTTACAGATTTTCTTCTTATTTTCACTTCTGGGAAAATTTTTCTTTTTTTTTTTTATCTCACGGATCCTTCGAGCAACGAGACTCCCGGGTGAAACGCATCGAAGGAAAGGAAGTCGAGGCTTATAATTTTCTAACTTTTTTTTTGACCTTTATAAAAAAAATTTTCCATCACATTTACGTGACCCTTATCTAATCGTGAAATACGTTTTTATGAAATTCCTTTGTAATCAGTACGATTGTCAGAATGGATCTACTCGATATGGCGTAGAACTTTGTAAAATTAACAGATCGTTCTACGTCTTCTCAGAGACAATATTGATGTCTGTTTAAGAATTTGCCTTTTTACGTCTATGAACTTGCGATGTTGTCATTATCGCATGGGCTTATCATCGCCGTTTATCTCGGATGAGTTTCACTTGGCCAATCACGCGGAGATGACATAAAGAAAACTACGGTATTAACCAGTAATATGAAATCAGATATAACCTAAAGTGTCATAGATCTCGCACGGTAAGACGATCGATCGATCGATATGATAATTCGAGCTGATCCCAATCTAAAGAGTTGCAAATGGCGTAACGTTCGCGGGGTTGAAAAACTTTCGTGAAATCAACGATAAACCAGAAAGGATCTGCCTGTGACGTAATTAATATCATGGATTAAAATTAAAGTCACAGTGATATAATTTTTTTTTTTTATCGAAAATTATCGATATATCGAAATTTCGTAACGAACGATATACATATACGTATATACATAGTCCAATGTGACGTACTAGATCTTCTCGGTTCGTCTATGAAAAAGAAAGATGAATCGGTCACGCCATTACACGACAATCTCCAGGCTATCGACCCAATCGAAAAAGTGTATCGATCATAAGAAAAGGGAATAGCCGAACGTGGTAGAATAAGAGGGAAAAAAAAAATTAGCCAATAAGATAGATTCGCCAAATCATCCAAAGTGTTACGTTAGGGAATTACGAAAGCGTGATAGGTCCTAGCGATTCCAGGGTAAGTTTTTCTAGCGATTCCTAGCGGTTCCTTGCTTTGATCTTTTATCTTTTATAAAATATTATTATACATCAGATTTGATTAAAATTGAAAAATAAAAAATTGTTTATCTACGGCAAAGAGTAACAGAGTGCTTCTATATCGTCGAGTTACTTTCTACGGGTACAGGAGGAGTTACGATAAAACTGGAGCAAAAGACAAGATCACGATGGAACGCAACGGCGGGCAACTTCGTGTTTCTCGGGTCGTGGCTTCTTCCGGGATTTGGTGTAAAAAGCGCTAAAAATAAAAGACGCGAAGCGAAACCACCGCTGGCGGCGGAAAAAGCATTTAGTGACTTTTTTTAAATCTTTTTCTCTTTCTTTTGTATTCTTTTCTTTTTTTTTTTCTTTTTCTTGTATTACCACGTGGTACGAAAGACTGACTTGACGTTCTATATATATATATATATATATATATATATATGTATATACACTCCTAGTAATGGGTATAAGAATGACTGACAAAGCTTGCCAACAGGGAAAAAAAAAACTATTGCGGTCGCAGATCAAATCGTTGGAGGCAATTTCACGGGTTTAGAGAAATTTGGCGTTTTGACGGACGCTAACGGAGAGTCGGAATAACGGTAAGAGGGATTTCTTTATTTTTCTTATCTTATGTATCTTTCTTCTCTTTCTTCTTGCAGATGGGGGGAAACGGCCATTGGGATTCTATCGCGCGCGAAAGCCGATATCGAAGTTTGGCACGTGTCGCGAATTCTTTTTTGTATTCCTATGGCGATCACGTGAAAATTTCCCCGGCATGGCTGAAGCCAATTTTTGGATATAAAGAAAAAAAATATATAAAAATAACATGTTCCCGGAATATTTTTGAGTAATTTTTTTTTTATTATCGCGTATAGTGACGCGTTATAATTTGAGTTTTATTTTTTTTCAATTTTCATGGTACTCCTAAGATTTGTTAAAAATGATAAGCATTGATAACCGGTCAATAAATGGTCGATTGGACGATCTTGTAAAATCAACAAAGAATTTTGACTCTTTGATAAGACTGATAAGAACGATCGATCCGTGTGATACATAATTCGTCTTACGTGAGATACCTCTGTGTATACATATATCCAAATTTGTGTACACTGAGAAAATTTGTTTATGACAACGAAACTTGATTGGGAGATCGCAATAATTTTGATTCGCGAAAAAATAATTAAATATCAGCGCGATTGTAAAAAGTGGAAAATCAATGTATCGACAAATAAATGACCGAAAGTTTGATATACAAAAAATTTGTCCGATTAATCATAAAACAAGAGTGACATAATGACTAGTAAAATTGGTTAATACCCTTTTACGTAATTGGTACATACTGTTAATTGCGCCATAATCGAGAGTGAAAAATCATTAGCAGCGAGTGCAAGCCATTAAGCGCGTTGACAGATACAGTGCGCATGTGAAAGTAAAAATTGCCCAGGTACGGAAGTTCGAGTGCACAATTAATTAGCCGAAGTGTAGCGAAACCCACGTAAGGTGAACGTTCGAAAGGTCAGAAAGATGAATGATTTCGCAAAGCGAGCAAAGTTTCGTCCGCCTAACCTCGTGCCGACTCTCGTTTTCCATTCCCGTGTTGCAAGTCGTCACAGCGCGAATCGGAGAAAACGTGGGAAAATTGCCATTAGCCGAACATAACCTAGAGCGACGGGTCGGGAGCCGCCTCGAAAGACAGACACTTATATAAAGGAATAATAACAAGAAAGGTTCTCCCCTCCAAAAAATCCAAGAACAAATCCAAGAGTTCAAGGATTCAAAATATCTGTCGTAAAAGAAAATGCAATAACGCGTGTCCGCAAGTTCGTAATATACGAACGTCCCGTGCGCATGCGCCAGATTGTTTACTACCGTTGCCATGGGTTCCGCCGTAGAAATAAAAGAATCACGTAGTCGATCGGTGACGGGAGAAATCGAAGTAGTCCTTAACCGATCTTTAATTGTTAATCCTATCGCGTAAGCGGATACGAGAGCTACTTTAGGTCATAGGTACCAGTGTGACGGTACCTTAACGCACAGCTTGTATTTTAATGTCCGCCGGTAACTGTATATACGTTACTGGAAATTCGTCTCGGCTTTACGTGAAAGTTTCTTCTGGTACCCCCGTGCAACGCGTTCCAAAGCACCAGGGATGAAAGTCCCTAGGCATCCCTAGGTCCCTATCTATTGGACAATGGAATATTACCAGAGAATTCAGGCACGGGATGGGCACGGGTCTCGGCCGAGTACTCGAAGTAGATACTTGACGTGGTGGGTCAGACAAGGCAGTACACGTGACGTGTAACTGCAGCGAGTAGTAACGGATAATAAAATCGTCAGACAGTATATATATACATGCATACACCAGATGTTACTACTGATATGTAAATACAGAAACAGAGTAAATATTTTCTAGGGAATTATCGTTGAATAAAAGATGAGTTAACAAGACGTTGAGAGCCCAAGTTGATAAATACGAAAGTCCGTAGAAACAAGCAAAAGACTGTTTTAAATCCACAAAATGAATCGGATAAAAAATTTTCTTCTGTTCTAATTTATATAATGTCTGAGTCAAAGAACCTTTTTTTTTCTGTCTTTCCCCCTGTCAAGTGAAAGTGAACGAACGCTGGATACAAACAGTATAGACTTGGGTACTGCAGTCGAAGCGGAGAAACACGTTCCACGGAAGTGAATTAGCGCGGAGTGATATTTTTTTTCAAAAATCTCGTCGAGACATTAAAAATCCAGTTTCGAAATATACATAACCGGGAAAGTGATACGAAAAAATAAAAATGTCTTCTTTCTACCCATAAGTCCTAAGTACCTGAAAATTAAATGTGACAGCTGTCAAGTGAAAAAGGTCAGATTAAAGCCAGACACAGATCCTATTAAAGCAGCGCAACAATTATTTCGAGCAGAACCTACACAGCCTCAACCTCCATTCTCCTTTCGACACACGGTATATACGCGTATGTGGAATTACCCACCGTCCACTCCACATACGATAGTTTTATGCTCTATATATCCTGGCCACAAGTAGGATTAACCTACCGTGCCGAAAAAAAAAAACACACACACACTAGCTTACTTTATCCCCAGCGCACAAAATTCTCGATATTCAATCACTCGATCGATTGTCATCGATCACCAAACACGTCGATAGATCGATCACTGGATTTTAGTAATAAAAAAAAAAAATTCCCCAAACTTCACCACACACGTTGAAACACCTTAACGACGTTGATTGTCGCAGTTTGATCTACCCGTATAGATCATTGGACACTGTGGGATCCATGGGATCGATATATATTTCACTTTGGATCATAAAACGTACGTTACCCGTAAAAGCCTATATAAAGTCACAAGCTCCGATTGATCCTGACCAAACGCTCCCTCAAGTTGCCAGCCGCACTGGTCACTTACGTGCGCGTCGTGAACCCCGTAAAATCCAAACGGTCGCATTCCCGTACGGAGGGATTCGAAAAGCGCGCGGATCTGTCGGATATTGTCCGCGGCGGTCGGATCGTAACTGACACGAGGTGGCGGAGTAGCGCGAAGAAAGGTACGTCGAGTCGAGTCCAGCCAGAGGTTCTTCGTGGGACTTCGGAGCGTCGAAGTGGGGACTGAGAGTCATGAAAAATAAAGACACCGGGTATACGGGGTATGCCGTGTACAGGTCGCGCCAGGTCCTCGACAGAGGTAAACACGTACTGTACATACGTAAATGCATAATTAAGACATCTATGTACAGTAGCTTCCGGTATTTTGGCAAACATGAAAAGTGGTCAAAATTAAATATTCAAAAAAAAAAAAAAAAAAAAAAGGTTCATCGACATTCAAAAGTGTAAAAAAAACGTTCAAACAGTAAACGAGACGAAACGAGGAAAATTCTTTGTCTCCACTAATTGGACAAACCACGTGATTAATTAATTTTCTAATTAAAGATATTTCCCACCCACGGCGTATCTTCGATATAACCATCCAAGATATGCGTACAGGTGGGTGGTGTAGAAAAAAATACAACCGGGCTAATTATTTAATTACAGCAAATAATATCGTAATTGATTACGTAATTTGGCTGGGAAATTATAAGGCGTGTCTGAGCGAAAGTATAACACGTGGCTGCGCGATGCCCGTTACTGTAATTGTTTGTCGTGACTTTTGCGTCACCCTGTGTAAGACAGAACGTGGGTATCGGTCGGGACTGAAAATTAACCTGTTATTAAATATTCGTACGTCCGTCGTATTTTTCATGACAGGAAAATTCAATTGGATGACGATATTCGCTGCACGTATCGGGCTCGGCCTTAAAACCGGAAGTCGGCTTTGTCTCTGTGGCTCATTGTTCGAATGCCACGCTCGAGCGACGCTCAGGGACAGACGCGGTTGGACATGGTTTGTTTTGACGTGCCTGCCTTCCGTCACTGTGTTTACCCTGGTCGTCCCGATCCCTGTGCATTTGGCTATTGTCGTGAACGGTAACGGGGAACGACTGGACGATGCCGTCTGCCTTTAACACGATTCAATACTTATTACGTGCCTCTTATGTTCTATATAGGGTTCCTCTATAGGGTTGATAAGTGCGAGGGAGAAAATTTTGTCCGGCGAGGAAAGATACGTATATAAGGGGGGCAGAGGGAA